AAAAACTTATCTCTGAGTGGATAATCCTCAATGTTAGCTTAAAATCGAATGAGATTCTAAGCGAAGGAAGCTCAAGTGCTTGAGCTTGCTTGAGCCATTTTTGCACTTAGAAGCTCAAACTTATTTATTTGGCTAGAAGCATTGACATTGATGATATCCCTATCCATGAAGGAAACATATTCAAGCACTGATTGCTTGAAAATGTTCATATTTTCATCTGAGAATGCAGCAGATGAAGCAGAAGGATGACTGGCTGAAGAGGAACAAGAAGTAACGCTTGCCTTTAGTTGTTCCCAAGAAGTAAACAAATCCTAAATGGAGCGTAAAATGGGGTCAGCGACCTGTAATGGAAAATGTAAGCATATATCATTTTCATTATAGTGAATGAAGTAAAGATGAAAGATAAAACAAATGCTACCTCATCAGTAGCTTTGGAAGATTGGGGGCACATCACTGGTTGATCCGACCACTTGTGGGGACTTCCTTTTATCTGAACGAGCATGCTCTCACACAACGAGCAGATCTATGGGTATCTTTGTAAGAATCAAGTGATAATGAGTTAAAGGCCAGTAACACAAACAAGGGAAAAGACCATAAAATATGTATTACCTTCTGGTTCAATACGTGGGGGGTTAGCGCCTTAGAAATGTAGAAGTTCTCCAATTGGTTGTGCGATCAAAGACTCTTGGCCTACGAGCTTCTCCTTAGGTAAAATCCCTTCGTCAGATGACTTAGACGAAGAAGTTCTGGTGGGAGGCGGTGGAACAAGAACCGGCAAAGGTGGAGTCTTCAAAGGAGAAATTGAGCTTTTCTGAAAAATTCAGGTAAAAAATTAACATATAAAGGATTTTTTCAAGAATAAACAAACTCAAATATCTTCATCCTGATGACGATAGGGGCATCATCATCATCATCGTCATCGGGCAAACTGACGAAGCTGAAGCTGGCTGTTTACGGCTGTAAACACTCTTAGCTGTTCCAGTTTGAGCAGGTGGGGATTTCGAAAGAGAAGTAGGATTCTTGACAGATATATGAATGGCAGGAATAAGAGAAACGGAAGAAATCCATGGCCTCTCCAGCAAGTGGAAAACGCAGTTAGCATCAGTTGCAAACAACCTACGCTTCATAGATGGCCAGAGTTGTTCAAAGAGATGGTGAATGACAAAAGTGGGAAGATAAAAGCATTATATTCAGAAAACCAAAAGCTCAAAGTAATAGGGAAAAGCACAGGATCATAGATTGGGGGACGGAGAGTGATTTCTAATAAATCAGCAATCCTAGCACGAAAATTGCCTTGGTAGGGCCATGAATTGTTATACGTGCATGCCAAAGGCAGAAAATTGTATCACTTTTGGGCTAAGTGCGAATACCCTTTTCACGGATTGGCTTTAGCGAAAAGGGGTTCAGAAGAGGAGAATCTTGAGTGCAAGGGAACAATTGGCCTGCAGCTGCTTGCCCAACAGAATCAGCGTCATTAAATGATGGGCCCAGGTACAACTCGTGGAAATCAAGATTGGCTGGTGAAAGGGAAGCTGGATTTATATACGGTCTGGTGAGAAGCTTTTGGAAGTCTTCAAAATTAAGGGAGTTGTCTGAAGAGCTATTTGAAGTTGCCATTTACTACAAATTATAATCTTCTCGAGGGTTTTGGGAGTATAAGTATTTGTGAGTAGAGAAGCAAGAAGATGAACAGTGATCTTTATAGGTAAAAAGAAACGCGACGACGCAGAACGTGGGTATAATGGCCCGATGAAGTGGCGTGTTCTTTGGTTTATAGGAGTTGCGTGATATTGCACTTTTCGGGATGTAGAAAGTCACTGCCAAACAAAATAATGATTGTGATTCTCCGCCATTTTTGGATTCAAGCATCGCGAGAAAATATAAAGGATGAATATGATATAAGATTAATAATTGATATTAATTTTGCCATATTAGAGGGTAATTGTTGACATACAAAAATGAGGCCCAATTAAATGGTCCAAAAAATGAAGCCCAATTAGAAAATTAGAAGGATAAGCCCAAAACAGACCATGAAAAAACACAAGATGAAGTTATGTAGCTGAGACCCATCAACGCTCAAGCCCGCGAGACGCCCAAGATCTGGGCGAATATAGTGTCTTGTTGTTATTCAAAGTAACAGTTATTGAAACAGTTCATTCCACAATCCAGGAATCTCGGTTGTAAGCAGTTAAATGATGAGAGTAATTACAGTAGTTAAAAACGGTAGTTTTTTTTTTGACAAGTCATCCATTATGGAGAAAGTGAGTAGTTACAGGGTAATGAGCAGTTTTCAAACGATTCTACAAAAAAAAAACTGTCAAATGAGTATAAAAGAGAAAAGAGAACATAGAAGGAAAAAAGATCAAATGACTCTCAAACAGAGAATTATGTAATTTCGTTTCTTTTTTCTTGTTAACTTTCAATTACTTTGCAAATTCAGTGTACTTGTACCCCTTGAAGGCATTTTACTTCTTGCAAATTGTAATCTTTATAAATAAAGCACATATCGTTGGGACTTTGTCTTGAGAGGTCGTTGTTCTTTACACAGTCGTCTGAATATTCTTTTAATTGTTAACGAGATTCGATTTCCATGCGACATGCTATTCTTTAAAAATTTATCCCTGTTTGGTTAGATAAAAAAATCAATAAAATACATAATTAAAAAGTTGTAAATTTATAAAATATATAATTAAAATTTTGATCAATTTTTTTAATTAACTGAATAAAAATATGTCAGAACCCGACTAATTTCTCAGCTCTTTTTTCAGATTTCATCCAAATATGGGTGCACTTCAACTTTTACTCCCATTCTGTTGACCCCACTCCCACACCACCCGCTCCGAACCCACACCCTTCCTTCTTCATCGAGTCTCAGGTTTTTTTTTTTTTTTCCTCCTTCATTTCGGAGATAGAAAGTAACAAATTCGTAATCATGGCCATTTAATTGGTTAAATTTTTACGCCTTTCGTGCATAAAATCATACTCGCAAGTGTAGAGAACAAGAATCGAAACCTCTAGGACCCAAACCCGTATCCCATTTTACAGGTTCTATTTCTTTTTGTTTGTTTAAATTTCAGTTAAGTTCGTATGGATTTCCTATTTTTGGTATCAATTTTGGTTCATTTTACATTGATCGTGTGATGCGTTTTCCGGGATTAGATAATTAGGGTTTTGTGAATTGAGTTTGAATTAATCACGGAGTTTGTCCCTTTTGGCTCTTTTCTATTTAATAATTTCTTTTTCATGTTTTTGTTATTATGTTTAGTTTAAATAATATTTATTTCTGGTACTTTTTATTGGATTTATGGCTTTGGTGAACCCATTAATGTGCATGTGTGCCCGATATTTGTGTCTCGTCGATTCTTATGGGTTCTTGTTTCTGTACGTCATATGTGCTGTGCTTGGAAGTAATGCTAATAGCTGTCTATGGGAAATGTTGTTTTAGCTGGCTGTGAGCAGTTCTGTTTCCTTCCTGCTATAGTTTTGTAATATGAATGCCTGCTAGAGTAATAATTTTTAAAGCATTGAGCTGGGAATTCATACAAATTTAAGATATTCTTTAGGCATTAAGTGTCAAAAAGACAGTTGCCCAACTTACTTTAAAGTTCATCAAATGTTGTTTACTTTGGGTTTTATTGTATCATTCTAATTCAATGATGACTTGCATTAAAGATTGTTGAGCTCTATTGACAAAATCTGGGATGTGTTAGTTAATGACTGATTGTGGAAATGGAAACCTCTTAAGAAAATTTATGCAAGTACTTGGAGTTTCTCTACTGTCAATTGTGAGCCTTCACAAAATAAAATTGTAATGTTTGGTCTGAATCATCGAAGCAGTTTAGTGACTGATTTTCTCAAGTCAGACGCAAAGCAAGTGCCAAACTGAGCCTTTATGCTTTTATTTTTGGTCAGACGGATAAAACTTTTGGATGTTGATAGTCTATGAATATATAATAGATCAAGAAATATGTTCATTACATAAAAGTAATTATAACTGTGGAGGAAACTTTGTATTTGAAGCTCCCCCTCCTTTTCTTGTGCATGCATAAAGTAGCCAGCATGTAGTGCATGTTAGTTGCGTAGTCGATTCCTTTGACTATCTTTCTTTTAATGTACTAGATGTGCATTACTGCTTTCTCCTAATAAAATCATCAACAACAACAACAAAATGAGCCTTGTCCCAAAATAAATTATGATCGGCTACATGAATCATTTTTCATCATTTTATTTTGGTCATTGCAAGATCTACTAGGAAATGTAAAGTAAATAGATCCTCAGAAACAGTTAATTTTGGTCAATCCCTTCCTCTTTAATTGCTCTACTGAAATCGTGTTCCTATTATGAACATGGGTTATGCAGGTTAACGTATAATGTGACTCAACCACATAAATCTTCTTTCCTTTGATTTTAGTTGGGTTGTATTCTGATTTCTTATCTTTTCTTTTTGCTTTCTATCAAAGTCGTACAGATAGTGGATGTATTCTCATTTCTTACCTAAGTCTTCTTTTTCTAAAGATTACTATGCACGTTGGTGAATGTACACTTGAATCACAGTATTTTTAATTAAAACAAGTAATGTGGGTGCATTATCAACTATCAAGTATGTTTTCTTCATCCTATTCCATAAAGAATAGAAAAAAATCTTATTCTTTGGTAGAAAACTGGTCAAATGTTTTTATTTTTTCTGATCTAATAGTTTTGACAATTTAAGCTTTTGCATTAGTTAAATTCTGATATGAAATTGATTTATTATCCCTGAGTTATCATGATTGTTGACATTACTAATATTGCGGGGATTGCACTTCTTTATTTTCTGGAACTAATACACATGTTTTTCATTAATGGATTTCTCTTTCTTGTTCCCTTTCCCTCTTCTAGGTACCGGAGCAATCGTAAATTCATTTTGCTAATGAAGTGATCCATTACCTTATCTTATAGAAGTATAGCAGTTTCGAATATTCTTGACCTATTAATACCCAAATTTGCATTGCATGCATTCCATGGAGCTGAAAATTTCTTCTCCAAAGCCGTGTCTTTCACCTTCTGATTGTCTCAGTGATCCTGAGGAGAAGGAAGTAAGTGAAGGTGAAGATGAAGATGATGATCGTAACCATAAGCATCGTAAAAAGGAGACGCGTTCTCAATCTTCGGAACGGGATGCTCTGGATCAAGTTTTTACAAGACCAAATAGGAAAAGAAATAAGCCCTTTGAAAATGGGTACATTTACGGTGGAGGTGATTCTCAATCAGGGGGTACATTATCTGCAAGGTTTGAGAAGCGACGTCCAAACCCAACTGCCTTTGGTATAGATTTGAAGTATAGAAACAGGGGGAACCAATCAATGTCAGGTGAAGCTGGTCCTGGTAGGGGCAGGGGAAGGGAACCTAGTTCCTGGGGACTGCGTGATTCCAGGCTTGGCTCATCTGATATTGCATCGCAACTGGTTCAGCCCGGTACTATGCATTCTAGTCTCTTTTCAGGGAGGGGGCTTCCAAACATTTCTAATGCCCAGAGTACATCTTGGAATGCATTTGGACTAGTTCCAGGAATATCTAATGGTGCCCTCGACACACTTCACCCTCTAGGTTTTCAGGGTTCACTCAGACCATCTATCAGTCCTGCAATGAATATCGTCATTCCTCGACAAAGGTGTAGAGACTTCGAGGAGCGTGGTTTTTGTTTAAGAGGAGACATGTGCCCAATGGAGCATGGTGTCAATCGTATAGTTGTTGAAGATGTTCAGGTACGTTGGTCTGTCTGCTTGATAAATTCTATATTTCTGAATTCCCTTGATTTATAGAATGTTTTTGGTGATCAGTGAAAATTCAGCATATATGAAGTACTAATAAGAGTCAGATGATTCATTATTCAAAAAGAGGAGTTAGTACCTGCATTCAATTTCTTCATTGACATGGAAAATACTAGCCGCCAGCCCCACGGAAAACATTGAATTACAAAAAGTATTGAATAATAAATTAATCATGAAAAAGAATTGACTAGAGAAGCACCTCTACAGATTTGAAATTGGTGTGGTGTGCCAACTCCTAATCAAAAACTACACAAGTTTATTGCAAAACTAATAAAAGAATCTACTTAAATGCTTCCCAATTCTTGGAATGAAACGATAATGTATTTCATATCAAATTTTGGGATAGAAGAAAGTATTGATGAGCAAATCAAACTTGGTAGAAATATTAAAATCACAAATAAAGTATTGAGGTAGATGTGCATGCATGCCTAATGTAGGAAGAGAGACAATTTTTTGTAAGAATAAGGAGAACTGGTGCGATTTTATGGAAAAGCGAGAGGGTAGGGTGAGAAAATGTGGATCCTTGGAGATAGAACATAGAGGTAAACCTGTAGCTAGCTGGACATGATTAAAAGGAAATTTTAAAAATTCAATAGAAAATCATGGGTAAGAAGGTGACGGTAGTGTATATTTAACTCTTCTAGCATTACTTGCACAAGTAATTGTATGACTGGATATATTTTGGTCCGAGTTAGTGGCAATTCAAACCTTTTTTTTTTTTTTTGTCATAAGATGACGATAATTTACAATTGGTGATTTAATTTTAAGGTAAATCAATGATTGACAAGCCTTCCTCTGAAAATCTCAATATCTGTCTGCATCCATTTATTTAGCCTCTGTTTTGGAAGAATTTTAAAACCGTTTAATATATAAATAGATATAAATGAGTGGTAGATAAGTAGATTGTGCTTGTGGGTTTATTGAAACGTGTGATTGAAAATGAAGTTTGACCATTTATAAATGATTTATAATGTTGCCAAGTGGAGGTTTAGTTTGTAACGAACAGCTGTGTAGTGGTTCATAGTTTGGTATGCCATGAAAATGTGTATTGAGCAACCATACTTTTCTGTTCAATTGTATAATTGGCAAAAGGACTGATTGTTTAAGTCATTATCTCTGAAATTGCAGTCTCTTTCACAATTCAATCTCCCTGTTTCACTTCCTGGCTCACAGCTTCTTGGAACTCCTGCTGGACATGGCACTTTCCCTGCAGTTAATGTTCCTGCTCTCTCTGGCACATTAATGCATGGCAGAGCTTCACATGGAAAAAGTAGCAAGATTGCAGTGACTGATGATGGTTTAGGCTTGAATGATGGTTATGTTGGTGGTTCTATGACAGGAGGCTCTGACGTCTATGATCCTGACCAGCCTTTGTGGACCAATGATCGTACTGAAACATCAGCAGCACTCCTAGCACTTAATCCTTCTAATGTGGACGATACTGAATCTTTTTTGGATACGGATCCTTCCAGCCGTAAGTTTTCTGAAGGTTTCGATGATGAGCATGCAACCAGAAATGCTGCTACTGCTGTATCCCAAAATTCGTCTGTCTGGGGAAGAGTAGGTAGTTCACAAAATAGATCAGGACTAAAGGAGAAAATCAATCCTTCAATAACTTCCTCTAGTAATCTTGAAACTGATAGCAAAGATCTGGAACCCTTAAAACCTGGTTCACAAGATGCTTCTGATCATGTAAAGTGGATGAATGTGAATCAAAATGGCCCTCAGTTTAAGGAAATGACTCTCAAGCAACAAAGTGACTCTGGACACAATGTCCGAAAGCCATCTCATAAGGCACTGTGCACCCTATTTGTCAAAGGCATTCCTCTGAAAGATAACAGAAAGGAGGCTCTTCTTTCGCATTTTCGAAAATTTGGAAAGGTCATTGACATTTATATCCCCTTGAACAGTGAAAGAGCTTTTGTTCAGTTCTCAAATAGGGAAGAAGCAGAAGCTGCTTTGAAGGCACCTGATGCTGTAATGGGTAATCGATTTATTAAACTTTGGTGGGCAAACAGGGACAACATTCCTGATGATAGAGCAAGTGGCAGCAGTAATGTGCCCATTACTCCCCGGGGAGTAACACCTTGTCCAGGTCTTCTTCATCCATCTGCTCCTGACAAAGGAATAGAAAATTCTCAATGTGCAGGTGGCAAGGACGGTAATGCCCATCCTTCTGTTGCTCAAGTGCCAGCCTATTATCATCCAAAGCCCACTGTTTCCAGCAGTCCCAAGGCCCCACCTCCTTTACAGAACAAGCTGGAGAGTTTAGAGCTTTTGAAGGAAGAACTCCGTAAGAAGCAGCTGATGCTTGATCAGAAACGAAATGATTTCCGGCGCCAGTTGACTAAACTCGAAAAACATGTAATTCTCTATGTCCTTAATTTAGTATAAACTAAAAGAAATCTTCTAAGCTAGTAAGTTTGGTGTTTTCTGTGCTCAAGGCTTTGTACCTTTGCTTCCCTTGTGTGTTTTTTAATATATGCCACTGGAACCGGCATTCTATTTATATTAGAGTTGCTGTTTTATTTGCCTTCAGCTGTGAAGGGAAGGATACCCTAAAAGGGCAGCTATAATCGGTATTGGCTTGCCTGCATCAAATCTTTGTTTCTTGCTCTGTTTCGTTTGTGCTCTTGATATATTTCAAAAAAGAGTTAGTTTTTGTCCTTCAATTCAGGGCGTAAACCTTATATATTGGAAGTGGTGAGAGGAAAGATGATATGGTTAACCTTATCCAAAAAAAAAAAAAGATGATATGGTTAATGTTTCAGTAGGAACTTCACTTTTGGAAGCTCATTGGGTGGGTTGGGGTAAAATTACTACTTCTATTAGTTACCAGATAAAGTGAGGTCTTGTGTCTGTGCTAGTCGTTTACTTGTCTTGCTTCTGTGCATTTACTAAATTATGTTTTCCCCTTTAAAGAGTAGAAAATGACACAAGACTGTAAATTCTGTACCCTCTACTATTTTTAAGTTTTCGTACTTTTGCAGGCTACAGGCCTCAAAGATTTAACGTCAGATCCGGCCACCAAAAGGCTTAAAGGGGACACACTGGCTGATCCTGTGGAAGCTGAAACCTCCGGTCCAAGAGCTAACATGGTTGCTGAAAAATCTGCCGAGCACGCTACACCAAATAGTTTCACTTCAAATTTGACTACAGCTCTGCCGGAATCTCCGAGTTCAAGACCTTTAATTCGTCCACTGGCCCCTCTAGGGGCAAGGACACCTTTTTTGATCAATAGATTCAAACTGGACAATCGTCCTACATCATTCAAAGTTGTTTCGCCCTTACCGGATGGCCTTGCAGATGTAATTTCTCTGTCAATCTTGTTCTTTACTTTTTTTGTTTTTTGCTTGATGGATGAATATGAGAGGTCAAGAAGCGAGAGTTTACAACTTTCAAATAATACATGATATTACACTCCCCCTCATACTCGAACAATTGAGAGGTCAAGAAGCGAGAGTTTGCCCACCAAGAAAGACTTGTTGAATAAATCTGCAATTTTTTTACTGCCATGTTACCTCTAGCTGACTCCCTCAGGTTCATACATATCAAATGGCTATAATGCACACTTGTGATTAAATTTTCAAGCGTTTCTGTGTAGGCTTTGTCCCCTTTGTTTTTCTTGTCGTGGGGTGAGGGAGGGGGGGGAGGCGTGGGTGGGTGGGGGGATGGGATGTTGTGAACATCCATTCTGAAAGTAGAACTCTTTCAGTTATTTCCTTTGATTGGAGTCGCATATATTTTATCATTTTAGGCTGAGCGTGGTGTCATTGCCTCATTGGCATATGCCTTAGGATCTTTTCATATGCATTCTTGTTTTTCTTTACGTGATAAATGGTACAAAGAGTAACTTTCTATTTATAGGTTGCTGCTTTAGAGGAACACTTCTCAAGTTATGGGGATCTTTCTTCTGTGGAACTGGAAGAGTCCGAGCCTCAAGAAACTAGTAATGCTTCACTGCCATCAGATGTTGCAGCTCGTGTCTCTTTTACGACACGGCATTCTGCTGAGAAGGCATTCTTGAATGGGAAATGCTGGCAAGGCCACAATTTGCGGTTTGTGTGGATTACTTCTAGTAATTCTAGCAAAAACACTGTTGGCAGAGGAAATTCTTCAGCCCCTTCTGATAGGCCATCAGATACTGGTGCTCAATCTAGTGGAGAAGCTGTTGTTTCTAGTGATTCTAGCAAAAACTTCGGTGGCTCTGGAAATTGTGCAGCTTCTTCTAATAAGCTTTCTGATGCTAATGTTCAATCTAGTGGAGAAGCTGTATCTTCTCATGAGAAAACTTCTGTCTCAGGAAGTGACGAATCTGAAAATCCGACAAATGAAAGTAACGTAGTGTTTGTTAATCAGGACAAAGACTCCAAGTTGAGCTCAACCACAATTTCAGGCGAAGAGCAGTCAACTTGAAGAAGTTCGTCTTCTTGTAGCTGCATCGAGGAGTTTGTACAGTGAGCTGCAATTTCACGTCATTCAGAGGTAGCTACATTCTGGCATCAGTTTTGTGTTTTTATTTTTGGGACATGTAAAAAGGAATTTTCTTAATTTTTCAACTGTCGGTTATTGACACCTTATTTTGAGGTATTTCTATTTCTAGGAATGAGGTAATTGAATATGAAACATTTGAACTGTATCCCTTGAACATTTGATGCTCTCAGGTTTTGTTTATTTTGCTATTTATATTGCCAATTTTATGTTTAGTGTTTGCTTCCTGAATTAGGACCTGAAAAAGTCGTCAAAATATGAAGAAAAAAAAATGCTCATTTACAGTATTAAATTGGCAAATATGTATTGAAGAGAATAATTTGGGCTGATTAATTGACAAATATGAATTCTTTTTAAAAAGAAAGAGGCCTTTGTTAGAGCTTGAATCGGACTGATTATCTTCTCTGGCTTTTCCATGTAAATTCAATTGTAAGGACCTGAGTTTCGTCCCCAGTTGTTCTTTTACGTATTGTCCAAGTCCTTCTGTCCTCTTACCTCTCATAAAATTTTGTGGCATCCCCCAGAATTTAATTGTGATAAACTTAAACAGGTACCAATTGCATTTTGGACAGAAGTCCAAGGAAAACAGAGGTCCACTATTGACACGAGAACTGGGCTTCCCGGGTTTGGGCCCAAGAGTCCAGGTTGAGGAAGTTCATCAACTAAGAAAGGTGGCCGCTCGTACAGGCGATAAAAGTCTTTGCCAATCACGATTCCAAACAACATGGTAATGTTGGATATCCATGTTTGGATGGACAAAAGTATCGGTTCCTTCTGTTTATTGATTTTTGAAAATTTGTTTGTTCTAACCCAAATTAATATTTTTCTGGTGCAATGTTGACAATTTTTCTGTAATGACATTTGTTCACATTCGAATTTGAAAAATTAAATGCTTTGGCTTTTTCTGACTAAAGATAGAATTGTGTCATCTGATTTATAAAGATAAGAAGGCATGTCCTCTCGATTCTATTTGAAACCACAATATGCTTACTCCTACTCCTACTCTTATTTAATTTCAAGCAGTACTAATATTTATAATCACTTATATTAAGCATTGATCTAGTGTTGAAAATTTACTTATACATGTACAACGAAATGTGAAATATTTTTTAATTTCCTTCAAGAATCGTCTTTGTGTTTAGATATACATTTTTATTAAAATTTTCACTTTAACAACTTTTTCAAACTTCTTTGATAATCTTGATTACGACCAATTACGCTCTTTCTTCTCCTTTGCGAATCTTGATCTATCACGATCTTTTCACACTACAATTATCAAATTGTTCAGCCTTCATTAATAATGCATGAGAACAAGAATGAGAAACTCTAGTTTCTCATCTCTCTTTCTTGTAAGAGCAAGGTTATGGATATTGTAATTGTGTAATAAAAACTCGAACATTAGTTGTTTATCAATGGATGTTTAAGTGGGCTTAACCACCCACTAAACATAAGTTGGCTAATTAGTTAATTAATTAATTTAATTTAAATCATAAATTAATTTACTTTAGTCAATTAATGAACAATCCAATTAATTAATTCTACAATATGTCACACTTGTCAATTAATTTATTTTCAATGTCATTCTTCTAGTTCTCGCTTTTTCTGTATGATCCATTATGTTTTCGATCATGATGTCCTATAATGTGAATTATTATTTTTATCTAATCAAATAAGATAAATTAATATTCTTCTTTTAATTTATCATTAATTTAAATATATTAATTAATTCACATTCATCATCCTCAATTGAATCTAGCAAAGTGTCAGTGCAATACGTGTGATGAAAAATTTCATGTGGTGAGACAAAATAAAACTTGTATGTTTACCGTGGAACTATAATTCCTTTTGAGAATATAATTCAATCAATTACAAGATATGGAGATATATTAATCTCGCTTAATTCGATATCTTTCGTCTTACTCTTAAGTTAATAATCGTCGAAAATCTCTTTCGACTTACAAACTCACATTGGTCAAGCATTTCAATATCAACTTAAGCGGATGAAATGTAGATCATAATCTCTACTGTCTAAGAGTGACGAATCATCCGTTAATCATTTATAACTTTCATATGATTTTTGATCCGAACGATGCCGCAATAATTATTCTTGGCATAGCAATATCCAACATCACCAAATATGACTGTCATCTATAAGATAACATGATAACATCAAATCGAATGATCAATTCCACGACAAACGTTAGAGATTAATTGATACTCAAATAATTATCCATGTGGAATCCCTATAGTGAGTTTTCAATATTTTGTTTTCTTAACGAAACTTCTACTCATCTATTTAAATGTCATCATATTTTAACTTTGTGAGATTAGTTACTCACTTCATAAGTGAAAAATGTCACATTGGTGTTCTATCCATAATAACGATATTCGTATCTTATTATTACTTATGGATTATATTAATTTAATTTGTTAGAATAATAATTAAATTAAATAATAAATCTCTCATAAAAAAAATGCATTAATCATATTAAAAATATTTACATCCAAAATTGATTGAACTTACGGCATAACACTTACATCTAGATAGCAATTACATGATATTAAATGATAGATTCATTTAAATATAAGGTCTTGTGATTCATTTAGTTAACAATTACATGATATTAAATGATATATTCATTCGAATATAAGGTCTCACGATTCATTTAGTTAAACTTATCGTCAGCGGCGGACCCAGCACCCGGCCGTCGGGGGAGGGGGGGGCTGTGTGTACTTGGCTCCGTGGGAACAGTTTTGGGAAGAAGATGGAGATCGCATTGGCGCTGGGCCTGGTTAAGTGGTTCTAGACTTCTGGTTCATCTTCTTCCACAATTTTTTTTTTGTTTTTTGTTTTGTAATTGGACCAACTGAAGATGGGCGGCCCTTTTATTTCTTAATTTTTTTAATTTTGTAATTGGATTGGGCTATTTGTTTTTTGAACCAATTCTTAATTATATATACGTCAAGCCCAACCTTTTTCCCCCAATTAAAATTAAATAAAAAATTGGAAACAAAATCATTTCCTTCAATTGGCGATTCCGATTTCCGCC